TCACTCACATTGCAACTTTTTTTATAATCTCAAATGACGGGACTAATAAGTCGTGCGCCTGGTAAGCCACACGCCTGTCCATGACAGTTGCAGTGTCACTCAGACCTTTAAATCGCAAAGATCTGAGGGGCACTGTCACCGCACCCGTCACTCTGAGACATAAATTGACAAGTCTCAAGTGCCTGTAATTTCACCAGCACCCTTCAAAACCGGAACACAGTATTGCTGACATCACTACTTGGGGGCAGAAGTAGGTAAGATGGCAGTACTTGCTGCTGTGGACAGGAGTGTCGCTTACCTACAGGAGTACGATTTGCTCGTCCTGTCACTTGGAATCACAAAAAAACGAACCGAAACTTCCTACAGAGAATTTAGTCATGTTCAGCCAGGGCAACTATGTAACGCTTTTGATCTTTTGATGAAATTAAATCTTTTGGAGCGTATGTTCGTGTCCAATTTTATTTTACACGGTACAGACTCAAAGGCTCGTTAAGTTCGACACTTAACATTTAAATTCAACTATACGTCGGTTACGATAAGGACGGTCCAAAGTGCGAACCTTGATGAGCTCTTGACAGGACCTCCAATTAAAAAAAGGACCCTTAATTTCTTTTTGAGTATTAAAATTGCATTACCCATTTATATAAAACGTGTGAAGTGTTTATACGTAAGGCAAAGACAAATTTGGGTACGTTTATTACTTTATACATTGTACTGTAATTGTAGTTGTAATGGTAACATTAAAGTTGCGTGAACTGAAATCGTCGGGGATAGAGCAAATCCGTGTATGTAGTATTGGTAAGAGGCGCGTATCTGCACCGAACCAAATTCCACAGGAGAGTGATTTAACGTTATCACTTTATTATGTCAATGGCTACGACTTTCATTTTTGCACAGTAACCATTAATTTATGATATCTACTGACTGATAACAATAGATTCCCGGAAATCACGCCAATTAGGTTCCTACGACATTTACGCGGATGTGATTTGGCCACTAAATTACCGAAATGGAAACTCATAGTCAAATGCTATTCACCCGTAAGTGCACTATCTCCAACGAAATGTATCTATTAATTCCGTGATCGTAGTGAATTTCCGTGTGCACCTGTCATCGAGTATTTAACCAGAAATAGAGACGAAATAAGGGCCATATATTCGTGGTAACACATTAGCGATACAGCTCTTATAAATATCGACTCTCGTTTGCACTGAAATATATACAGGCCAACTACTGCTTCTGTATTTATTGTAATAAAGATAATATCACTAACAATGCCGTGCTGTTCTATTCGGTGGTGTGGGAAATACAGCAAAACATCTAATTACAAAACAAACGGAATCATACCTCATCGGTAAATAAATATTAAATATGTAATTTTGTAATTTTCGTCCATTATAGCAAAGCTCAAGTTAACTGTTCGATTTGAAGTGAAACAGCTGACGACATCCATTGACGACACCCGTCAATAATTTCGAACTCAGACTAGCCAATCGGAGCGCAGTTGTCACAGTAATGACATGGCGGAATAGTTTTCAAACAAATTAAATGACATTTCGCCTCTATTTCTGGTTATATACTCGATAGCACCTGTATATAGTGCTAACAAGAACTAGCGAAACTATTAGTAACCCAAATGCTTGTGACGTCATTATGTACTCGGAAGGGTCATAATTTGATGTTTTATTAACGCATGCTCACCGAAAAGCTCGTGGACTCCTGGTAATCAATTTCCATTTAATAAGTTAGTCATAATAGTCACGTACAAATATCTCATATAGATGAGGTTTATGGGATTGTAAGGGAGTCACCACATTAGTTAGAAAAAGCTAAAGCTTTATTAGCAGTAGAACTATTTGTGAAGGAGTTCGTCCAGGAAAGTACTGTCACCTTTATCTATTTCTGCCGCAAAGCAGTAATGCGAGCATAACTAGGTTCCGGTTTTGAAGGGTAAGGATGTTGGTGATATTACACACACATACCTCTATGCCTCAGGGTGCCAGGCGCACTGGCAGTGCCTCATTTAAAGTTCAGAGTGTCACTGCTATTGCTATGGACAGTCGTGTCGCTTACCACCAGGCGTATGACTTGTTCGTCTTATCGCTTTAGTACCACAAAAAAGCTTCATCTTCATGCAATAAGAGCTACAAAAATGCGCGTTTCTCTTTGGCTCGGGCTCGCCTATGCGAAATGCACTACGTCTTTTTTGCTTTTGTTACATGGACGTAATGTAACGCTTTTTCTGACTGGCTTAAGCCAATTATATGTCGATAAGTGTGGTGTTTCCTTAATTGTTATTTATGTGTAAGTACCACTAATTAGGTAGAATTTTGCTTTGCGGATATAATCTAATTAAGTACTAAACTAATTAGTATTTTCCACACAATTACGAATACTAACTGAAAGTGGCCTAATGTTCTGTTTTGCTTGATAAAAAGCGTAGGTAAAAAGAGTTCTGAAAGGTCACTTATTCAGCTACCGGTTTGCAAAGAGCTCTCAAATTACTGGGGAACGGTGCGGCGATGAGTTTTCTTTTATTATTTACAACTTCCCGATTTCCTGCGACGAAGTCTGTGGAAATTTTACTTTAAACGTTTTCTCTTTGGTCGTGAATGGAGAAAATTATTTTAGAAAATTCCGTTGTCAATATCAGAACATTTCCGAACCGACATTGATTTCTGAAAGGTTACAGCGACATTGTGTTCTCTATTTTCTATTTTATAGAGATTGGTGACAAGTACTTCCCCATCTCATTATATACTTTTATATGAAAATATATATTTTGTTGAGTCCATGCATATTTTTTTTGTTACCAAGTGGCTGGATGAACAAGGCGTGCACCTAGTGTTAAGAGCTTTGCCTTGAGACAAGTTGACAAGTGTCATGTGCCTGTAATTTTACCAGCAACCTTACTCACAAACCCGGAACGCAGTAATGATCATATTACTGCTTGGCGGCAGAAACAAGAACAAATAAGATGATAGCATCTTTATAGAGTTCTATTACTACAGAAATATGTTCATATGTATGGTTAACTTCAATAAAATTACAAATAACAACACACAATATGGATATACACTTTTTTTTTTGGGTGACTGGTGTTAACATGCCTGTCCATAGCAGTTGCAATATCACATTTGAAGTTGGATTATTATAAGCATCATTTTATAACCCCTGGACCTGTCCGTACCTTGTTTTTGTTGCTAATAAATGGAAAGAATTTCGAAATAAAACACAGAAAGTAAGAATAGCACATTTATTAAAAAAAACTGGAAGTGTTATTATACTTAATATTATGGCACTTTGTTGCTTATGCATCATTGGAGAACATGCATGCAAACCTTAATCTAATTATGAATAGAAAATTATAAAAAAACAGTAATAAAAATACTGGTTTTACGGAATCTGTATCCTATTTATAGCTTCGTCATAGTGAAGTTATGATAATAATGTATAAAGCCGAGTTCATTGAGGCAAATCGAGTGGATGAAACTTATCGTTTGCGAAAAATTATCTAGCAATATTTCAGAGTTCTTAGCGTACAGTCGATATCGACCTGAGATACCTGACCCCGTAGCCAACATTTAGGTTCTGAGAGTCTTTTTGCGCGTTTAACAGAAAAGTATAAAAGAATTTCAGCTTTTTGATTCATTTTTGTATTCATGTAATGTAATCAAAGATGTAAATGACTTAAAGAAGTTCCTTAAAACGTTTCCATTAACTAATGATGCAAAAAGGAAGTCATACCACACTGAAATGTACGGCTCACAGGTTAAAGATTAGGTTTGTTTAAAACCTTTCTTCACACTGATTTGCTCAGAACCAAATAGACGGTTATGGGGTCAGATTAGGGCATCGACTGTACATGCCATACATAATCTACTCTGAGATATTTTGGTTAGTTCTTGCTTGTAGATACAGCCATAGTAAAAGTCATATAATATAAGGCATACTTGAAGGCGATGTGACATTATACTAACTAAACAAGTATGGTAACTCCATAGAAAATTAGCAGCGCGGTATGTACGGAGTTATCATGCTTGTCTTATTATATTATACTACTACTCTACCAAGAAACCAATATCACCCAAGTCTCTAGGTTACATTATTCGAGTGTTCTGGAAAAATCGTCGTTTACGTGGTGACAAATATTGAGGAATAAATACGGTTTAAGCCTGCAATACATGTTGGCCGAGTCTAGGAGAGTAAAGGAAAATACCAACGAAATAGACAACCTATTTGCCTTGCTATATATATTGCCAGCGCTCGATGTCGCTCGCCGAGCTGGCCAAGTGAAGGCGAGCGCCAACGTGTATTCATTTAGCGTGTGGTTCATTTAGCGTGGCTCTCCTCTATTACTTCGAATCGGTGTCGGTTTTTCTGCACAAATTAAATGCGCTCGCCTGTGCTCGGTCAATATCCAATACAACTTTTGTAACTGTAGTGAAAAATAGGCACTTTGCATTAATATTAGACATAATTGGTTGATAATTTTAACATGTCAGTCAACCGTGTCTATGAGACCTATATAAATTTATTATATTATTATATGGGGCCCGAAACGTTGGTTTGTTTGAAAAAACAAATATACGCGATTTAAATTCGAGAAATAGATTAATTTCCCTAAGTTTTAATGTAAGTTATTATCTTAATGTAAGTTGTAACTTCTACGGCGTTCATATCGTTTCAATGCTCAATGAAAACTGATAGCGCCCAACGCGTGGACAGCTCCACAAAGTTCGTCTACATTGGCCGTTTGTATTGCACTTGTGGACTGTAGCACTTGCCTTGTATCACTTTGCCTACGCTCGTGTTGGCGTAGTCTCGGCCAACATGTATTACAGGCTTTATGGAATACACCTTTAATGACATAGGATAATTCAGCCATAGATATTCTATTCTTATCTTACCCAGCGCCTTTATAATTCATGACTTTGACGGCGCTGCAGGTGTTACAGCAGTATTTTCTAAAACGAGGTAGCGTGCAATATCTGATAAGCTCATTGGTGGTGAAGTTTCCACAATACTGAGTCCCGTCGGCAACTGGGCATGGCTTGCTGGTTGTGGAGGGACAACGGTTTACACAGCGACGCCGCTTTTCTCTTGGCTTCGGTCCGCATAGCATTTTGTTTTCAGCCGGGCATTTCAGTGGACGGATGGATATACCGCGACCGCAGGTTGTTGAACACTGTATAGAAATCAAGTTGGTATAGTTTAGGACAAAAAAAATTACAAAATAATTATTAACTTAATTAATTATAAGAATAAAATTATTCTCATGTAATATTAATTTTATTGAATATTATGATATTAAAAACATATGTTTTGTGTTTTGTGAAATAACTCCACTATAGTCTGTTTTTTTGAAGATGAAGTAAAATGACAGTTCATTGCGCAAAAATGCTGCCCGCTTTCAAGCTGCTAGTAATTGCAGTCGATAAATATTCCATCGACTATCGATTGAATGTTGGTCGTGCTTATGCAATAAACAGTTAAACTTGTTTAATTCCAATTCATCAGCGGCGTATTATTGATTTTAAGTTCATTTGAATTGACAATTTTTGTAGGTTCATACGTTTACACCGTATTTAGAACTAATGTATATTGAAAATAGAAATAGGATAAAGGATGTCCTTTATATTTTAATAAACACAGTTCTAAAGGCAGTGTATGTATGTATGAACCAAGACAAACGCTTCTAGCGTCACAGTGACACGTCTGCGTGTCGAGTGTTTGTGGCGTTTGAGTTGCAATCATAGCTATTGTGGTGCCACACTCCGGACACTCCATACAACAGTCGAAAGTTATTTACCTACTACTACTACATACAGCAAGGCGCTATCTGCACACGCGCAAATGTGTGCGTGAAGTGGCAGGAGTAACCCATCACTTTCTCGTGCTACATAGGGCGCACTATGAGTTTCCGGAACTGGCCACTTACATAAACAATATTTAAAAAGCAATTACATAATAACATTTGAAAATGGAACTCTTTGGTTGTAGAATACAACCAAAGAGTGTTTTTACATTGTAGCGTTGTTTTAGAAATTGGTTGTCTACATCACCATGGATTTAACTCGTGAAAATGTTCATAGTACGATTTTCTACGACTTTAATTGTAATCTAACAGCTCAGCGGAGCTTCACTCGGCTTCAAACTGCCTTTGGCAATAAAGCACCATACAAGACGACTATTTTTAGCTGGTTTGCAGAACAATCATATGTTTGCGTGTGAATCTCAGTGACGAATTTCGTGACAGTCGCCCGTCCACTGCTGTAAACAACAAAAACATCGATGCTGTGCGCCGTATGATCAAAACAGACAGGCATGTTATCACATACCATGAGATTTGGGTATCTTTAGGCATAGGCATGAGTCAAATACAATCAATACTACACAAACATTTGGGTGTGAAAAAGCTCAGCTCTCGGTGGATCTCACAAAATTTGACTGAGGCTCAAAAAACGGATCGCGTCACTTGGTGCAATGCCATGCTTACCAGATTCAACGAAGAGGCGTCAAATTTGGTGTGAGACATAGAAACAGGTGACGAAACATGAATTTATAGTTACGATCTCAAAACAAAGCAGCAATCGATGTCGAGATGAGTCGAAACCAACCAAAGGGGCGCGCGTGGAAAGTGCCTCTAAGCGGATGATTGCTTCTTTTTTTAATAAAACTGGACATGTGGCTATCGTTGCTTCGGAGAATCGTTGTACCGTGAATAGTGATTGATACACGACCGTCTGTTTGTTCGAAGTTATTCACAAACTCCGTAAAACTAACCGTAAACGCCGTATCATCTTGCACCACGACAATGCCAGTTCTTACACGGCCAGACAGACAAATGAATTTTTGAAGGTGTACAACGTTGACCTTTTGAGCCATCCCGCGTACAGTCCCGACCTGGCACCTTGTGACTTTTATTTATTTCCAAAAACTAAGAACCAATTACGCGGTCAACGATTTTCATCACCTGAAGAGGCTGTCGAAGAGTATGAAAAATACGTTTCAGAGATTATAACGGAAGAGTGGCATAAATGTTTTCAAAATTGGTTCATTCGTATGAAAAAGTGCATTAACGCTAAAGGAGAATATTTTGAGAAAAAATAAATTCATTTCTGACCATTTATAGTATTTTTTTCTTATTCATTCCTGAAATTTATAGTGCACCCCACGTATTACGTTACGTGGTCAGAACGTCGAGAGGCAACACAGCAACACTAAAATGTATTATCTATAATTCTATTAATAGAATCCTAATAATTACATTATGTTCATTAGGTATTTATATCGATATACTAGACTAGACTAGACTAATATTGAAAATTTATTTTTAAAATATATTAAAAGCACTTAAAATGTTATATTTTGGACAGGTACTTTTAAATAAAACGATGTTATATATTAACGTACAAGTTTGTAATGAATAAATGAAAACTATGTTCAAATATGAAAGCCATCTTAGCGCGAAAACGGCTCGCCGACAGCTTTGTCGCTGTTCAGTCAATGTGCGGGGCATGGTGCGGTATCTAAAGCTAGGGAGGGGCGGAGATTGACCGTTCTCGTTACTTTTTTGTTCTCTGGTGGTGCCCATAGATTACACTAGAGACTTTATCGATAATGTTAAACTATACCCTTTGTATGAGAAAGCAGATCTGCCAGCTATTTCAATCGGTCAGACAGCAAAAAGGACTGGGAAGGTTTTGTGTAAATTTTATATTTTTTTATGTTGTGATTTGTTTATCATCATGTTGTTATATTATGTTGACAAAACAAAGGTAATGAATATATTTTTATAAGTTCTGATATTCTTTTCTCCTTCTTGCGTTTTAACAACACAAGTAAAAGTAATGTTTAGGCTTTTTTCTTTATGTAATGAAGGAGGCAAACGAGTAGACGAGCCACTTGATAGGAGGTGGACATCGTCGCCCGTGGACATTTGCAACATCAGATGAGCTGTCTATGCGTTGCCAGCCTTTGAGAGCCCTGTAAACACGCTTTTTGAAGAACCCCATGTCATAGCGCTAAGGAAATACTTCAGAAGGAAAATCATTCCACACCTTGCAGGTTCAAGGAAGAAAGGAACGAGATGCTCGCGTGGTCTTACAATGCCAGGCATCTAAGATGTGGGGATGGACTCTACTACTTTGGCGGGAGGTGCGATGATAGAAACGAGACGGTGGCACCAGTTTGGAAAGTTCTTCAGAACACTCCCCATTATAAAGACGGTATAACACACAGAGAGAGCAAACGTCTCTTCGTAGGGTATGGGGCTCCATATCGTCTGTGAGTTTGGGATCATCGATAATACGAATAGCCCTACGTTGGATAGAGTCAATTATTCGTCAGAATCCATCGCGTACACTAAATCCAGAGATAGACAAATTACCAATAATTTGTCGTTTGAAAAATAATAGCCTGAAGAATTATGTCCTATAAAAGTTGTATTATTTAAGTAAAAGGTTTTTGTTTTTCAAAACTCAGTTAAGAGAGAATAATCATTATTAGGTTCACACTCACTGCAGTCCAGGGCATCTCCTTCCAGTAAACAGGACAAGGAATGCGGTTGCAAGGCTGCGTGCGGTTCGGCTTGTTAGTTGTAGAGCATGACGCTAGTGATACGCTGTTTTTGATCCGACCCCATCGAGTTGAAATTCTGATGACGGAGATAATTACAAATTAATTGTTAGTAAATTTTTGTAAATTATTGTTGATGTAAACTTAAGTCCCAAACACAAACTTTAATCAACTGTTTAAAGAAATTATAATAAACAGAAAAATGAGTAAAATGCTCCCGGCATACAATAAAATTAATGCAGTCATTTTAAACATAATACTTTTATGCAGTATGTATACAACTTTCGTACTTATTAATGAAGTTGAAGCTTGTTTTAAGTGAACAAAATTGAATCGGAAAGCTTTTAAAGTTATTTGTACATCGTGACCTGACTTTTCAATCTTCTAAGAGTGAATCTTCTGCAAACAATTTTCAACTGCTGTCGAATTTTCGGAACTTAGAAGTGCAATTTTAGTACAATCCATTTATAGAACGATTAACAGAGTCTTGGGTGGGTAACATTTACAATTATTAATTTTAAAAGATTTCTAAATGTTTGTATTTACATATCATTTCATCATTGGCTATTGGATTTTCGTGTCATAGGCTGCAGTAAGTCATCGATCCATCCACCTACTTACTTATTATTAGAGTACCTTACCACTCCATCAATTCAAGTAGCTCCTTGTGAAAGAGTTCGTCCTGGGAAGTACTGCCACTTTACCTATTTCTGCCGCCAAGCAGTAATGTGAACATTACGTGTTCCGGTTTGGAAGGGTAAGGGTGCTGGTGCAATTACAGGCACATGGGACTTGTCAACTTGTGTCTCAGGTGACGGGTGCAGTGGCAGTGACCATAAGATCTTTGTGATTTAAAGTTCTGAATGGCACTGCAACTGTTTTGGGTAGGTGTGTCGCTTACTACCACGCCCACGTCCTTTTCGTCTCGTCACTTGGTATTATGCAAATAAAAAAATACCAGTTTCGCGAACTATCTGGTCTATTGTGCGGTGCATCAGTCGATTATAATAAAGAACCAACGTACAGATTGATCAATCATGATGAGTGCAGTTCAGCCCTGAGAGAATAGATGAGAAAGGGGAAATTCAGACAAGAATGCGGGGTGCAGTTTTAGTTTAAAACAATAAACAACTTATGAGATACTAATGAGATGGTTAGCTGGTTATCGATCTACACAATATCTTTACGGTAGGTAAGTTTATGCAGTTTAGAACTGCAGTTTCTCACGTTTGGTGGTAATGTAACAAGCGGTGGCAAATTATAAACAAAATAAATGCTCTTTTTTAAATGAAATTTACACGCACTGCTTTCAAAATATGTATTTGTTGATAAATCAGTAAGGCGGGTTTTAAGGAGGTGAGGTGTGGGGTACCGCCTCTCGCGTCCCACATTCCGCGCGCTTAAAATTAGTATGAACAAAATGAGAACAGGCGTAGAAAATTTGACACAGATCCGATAGCGACAAGCGCCCGATGGCGATAGACGTGGCAGCGGGCGGCGCGGCGTGTCATTAAACCGCTGGGAAATTTTCGAGTTTTGTTATAAATGTGAATTTAATAACTATAGGGCTTCAGTTGAAAACCAAAATTAGCAGGTTCTCTGTAGTACTTAAAGAGAAATAAATATCTCCATATAAAAATTATGTGCAAAAGTGGATATTTTATTGTTAAATAATTCGTTTTAGTCTCTTATTTTAGCCTGTTTTCGGGATTTTATATTATCGAGTAAAGTACATCCTGTTGTGTAACGAATTAGCACATTCCTTAGGTGCATCGAATATTTTTCTAACACCTTTATTGAATAGTAAATATCTAAACCATTTGATCTAGCAGAACAGTCTCACTTCTCCTCCAGTGACTCGCCTCAAATGTAAACTGTAGTTACTCACTTAACACCAGATCGCACGCAGAAAAGCTGCCTCTCTTGGATTCCCTTCTTGCCACATGTGGTGCTGCATTCTTCCCACTCACCGGGCACCCACACGAACTTGCAACTGTAAAAATGTATAATCGATGCCTGTAAAACCAGTAGTAACCATTCTAAATTGTACCTTATATTATTGTAGATTGGGCATAAAGATATACATTTGTATCGAGGAAATAATGACGTGAATGCCAGTGAACTCTTAAACAATCTTAATACTATAGTATTAAGATTAATTCAATCAATCAATCAATCAAATAATTTATAGGTACGACCGTCTCGAAGGTCACGATCACAAACATTGTTTCAGTACTTACTGCCAACATTATGGGGTACTAACTAAAATAATTAAATCTTTTTTTAATTCTCAATTTTACACCATGTCATATATCTTTTCTTTATTTTATTGCTACTGTATGTTCACGTCGCTCATCGTTTAAATAATCAATCACTAAGTAATTTTATGCTTTTCTAGTCAATAAACTTTTTTAAACTGGCCATGTTGTTTGTATCAATAACAGATTAGGTAAGAAAGTAACCTTATTCAAAAACATCTGTCTGATAACTTAATTTTGTCGGAGGCTTCTTCCATCTATCTTTTCCAATTCTGTGTCTGCAATAGGTTTAATTTCGCCCACCTGCTAAATTGTCTGCTACATACACTGACCGTTGGAAACAACTTTTTGATCATTTTCATTACTATAGATTATTGACAGGGAAATGACGTTTGTTTCGTGGGCATCTGAATCATCTCTTCGAAATAGAAGGAAAGATTGAAAGAGAACTCTGTCTGAGTTGGAGATTATTTCACCGACAAGAGCCTAGCTCTTAAATTAAGAAGAGTTTAATGTAATATAAACGGTTCAGAGAACACATTTGTTCGTCTGCTTCAGTTACGAAAGGGTTTAATTAGAGAGTTACCACACTCGACGACTGACGATGCGACTCGATATATTATGTGAAACGCACAATAGTATTTTCTGCAATCGTTGCATAATGAGGGTTCCTAAAGTCGAGTTCCGTGTTTAGGTCACGAGGCTTTGCCGAGGTACGAGATTTTAAGATCCAATTATTATTATTAAATTTATGTAATGAATGCATACAATACTTTTTCTACGAGTAAATAAAATAATGATGCAGAACCTATATTTAATGTGTATTTTGTTAACAATCCATGATAACGTAGGCAAAAAAAGTTGAAATATTTGGAACAAAGAAACTATAGAGTCGTGTTGATTTTAATCTTATTTTTAAAATGACTTTTTATTAAACGTTAGCAATAGCTAACAAAACATTGTTGTACTCGTTTTACGGCTAGAGATTACCTATCAGAAGTCAGAAAATACATTTGCCCGAAATAACGTTAGCTCCAATTTTCATAATGTCAAATGTATCTTTTTGTGAGAAGCATCAAAATTACTTGAAAGCGTAACGATTTTATTATAAATCGGTTTTCGGAATTACGAATATTTGAGTTTACGTTTAGTTGGAATATCGGTACATTTCTTACAGTACACGCTTATTTTCACATTTGTAGTAATATTTGTATGTATGTATCTGCCTAACTCTTTATTATTTCTTTAAGTGAATTTGTACACAATTCGACATAATAACATATATAAAAATTAATTAACATTTAGGAGAAAGGCTACTCCATTACTCTTGTGTTCAAGTAATTTTCAGTCGAAGCTAAGTACGGTGCATTTTGTTAAGTTTCCAGTAGAAGCTGAATATGGTTTTTTTGGGCCCTTAAATTGTTGCAAGCATAATCTCAGTACAGAGTACTAAAAAACCGACCTCAAAAGTACGTAGAATTACGTCTATTTGCTAAGTTTCATTGAAATATCCCCTAGTTCGCCACTATACAGGACATGATACTGGAGATAATAAAAATAGGTTCTCACTACGACTCTACTCAAAGTATATCGAGGGAAAAACGCCTTGAATTGGAGAAATAGCAAAATCTTCTGGGAGTTTACTATTGCCCATCTCTAAGAATTGACTACTTTTCCGCTCTTGAAAAGCTCCTTGAAGACTTTGCTCCTTCATATGATCATACCATTTTGATGGGTGATTTTAATACTTGCCTTCATAAAAATGATTCACGTTCGAGCAGTCTTCGTTCTGTTATAAATTCCTGTAACTTACATATTCTTCCATCTAACGCTACGCATCATTTTCCTAACTGTACTCCCTCTCTTCTGGACCTCATAGCAGTCTCTTCTCCCGAACTTGTCACCAAGCATGGTCAATTCACGGCTGATGCCTTTTCCTATCACGACCTCGTGTACCTGTCGTATAGGGTGCGCGTGCCCAAGGCTAAGCCTAAAATTCTCCTACAACGTAATTTTGGAGCCATGGACTTAGATCGATTGCGTGAAGACGCGAGTAGAGTTGACTGGTCAGTAGTGGATAGTGTTGGTTCGGTGGATGAACAGGTCGAGTTATTTACATCGCTACTGACTCACCTTTATGATGTACATGCACCAGTTCGACCCGTTCGGATCAGGCACCTTCCTGCACCGTGGCTGAGTAATGACCTTCGAAGTTATATGGAGAAGAAGAATCGTGCGAAAACCAGATACAAAATTGAACCATCTGATGCGAATTGCAAAAAATATCACCGAATCAGAAATCGCTGCAACACATTGATTAGGGATGCTCAGCGACGCCACATCCACACATCCATCGAAAATGGTAACCCCACTAAAATTTGGAATTTCCTTAAGTCGCTTGGAGTTGGTAAATCTCATAGTAATAATTCTTCTTTAGACCTGAATCTAGATACCCTTAACAATCACTTTTCATCTGCGCCTGTCTTTGACTGTTCAGTCAAGGACAACACTTTGCTATATCTTTCATCTTTACCAACTCCTGACTATTCATCTTTTGTTCTTAATCAATTTACTGACTGTGATGTTAAGAAAAACGTTTTAGCTATCGCTTCCAATGCTGTAGGCAGTGATTGCATTAGTCGTAATATGATCATTCCGCTCCTCGATCTCCTCACTCCCGTCATAACTAAAATCCTTAATAAATCTGTCTCTACCTGTGTTTTCCCCTCTGCCTGGAAAGACGCTTATGTCATTCCATTACCAAAAAAAACCAAACCAAACTTCCCTTCAGACTACCGTCCTATTTCAATTCTTCCTTTCCTGTCGAAAGTCCTAGAAAAGCTTGTTCACTGTCAGTTGACTAATTTCGTAAACAGGAACAACCTTTTCAATCCTCTCCAGTCTGGTTTCCGCATTGGTCATAGTACGACTACTGCACTCACGAAAATCACTGATGACATCCGTTTGGGTATGGAAAATCAACAATTGACTGTGCTGACACTCCTTGACTTCAGTAATGCCTTCAATTGTGTTGACTTTGACCTATTATTGGAGGCATTGCGTATTCTTAACATATCTCCAGCAGTTATTGATTGGTTTCGAAGCTACCTCTGTGGACGTCGGCAGTGTGTACGCAATGAGAATTCTTTCTCTACGTGGTGCGATATTTCCGCCGGTGTCCCGCAGGGTGGCGTCCTTTCTCCTCTCTTATTTTCTTTGTTTATTAACTCTATCACACAATCCCTCACTTCTTCTTATCATCTTTATGCTGATGACCTCCAGATTTACACCCAGTCGTCTATTCAAGACTTACCACGTGCCATTAGTACTACCAATGTGGACCTTGAATCCATTCGTCAATGGAGTCAGTCCTTTGGCCTTAAAGTTAATCCATCTAAAACACAATCGATTATTATAGGTAGCACTTGGTTCAATTCTCGTCTAAATCTAGCCTCCTTACCCCCTGTGGTTTTCGATGGTGTATGTATTCCTTATTTGGATACAGTCAGGAATTTGGGGGTAATTTTTGATAAATGTCTGACTTGGAAGCCGCAAGTTGCTGAGGTTAGCAGGAAGGTGTTTGGTGCGCATTTCTCTCTGAGAAGGCTTAAAAACTTTTTGCCGACTAAAACCAAAATTACTCTGGCCCAGAGCATTCTCCACCCGATACTGGACTATGCAGATGTTTGCTACCCAGATTTGTCAGTAACTCTGCTCAATAAATTGGAACGGCTCCAAAATATGTGTGTTAGGTTCATCTTCGGACTACGTAAATTTGACCATGTCTCCCAATTTCGCGCACAAATTAAATGGCTGCCCATCCATCGGCGTAGAGATCTTCATATTCTTTCACTTCTCTATTCAATTCTGTTCTATCCCTTTACGCCTTCTTATCTTAAAGATCGCTTTACTTTCCACTCTTCTACACTCTGTCGTCCCCTTCGCTCCTCTGATACTCTCTTACTTAACTTGCCCTCTCATACCTCTAACTTTTATTCCAACTCTTTTACCATTTCTGCGATCAGATTGTGGAATTCTCTCCCTGAATCGATTCGACGATCCCCTTCTCTTGATTCCTTCAAACAACGTGTCAAGGATCACTTCCTCAACTCCTAAATTTCGTCTGTTCTCTACTATCCTTTCATTTATTTCCTACATTTGTACTTCATTTTTCTTTTTCTATTAAAAGTATATAAGCATTTAATATTATTGTGTATTTATTGTTATGTATGTATTAATAATATTATTGTTATTTGTATGTATATGTATATTAATCTATGGATATGTATATATTTTTATTATTACTTATTATGTAGTGTACTTATGATGATATTCTTTGGTTGCACCCCTTTTGCATATCCGAAATGTCTATCCTAAGGTTGCCTGGAAGAAATTGCTACATAGCAATAAGGCCGCCTGTTGCACATTGACTTACTACTACTATTATACTTAAGCTTTTGTATTGTATTTTAATTGTAATTTTATGTGCAATAAAGAATATTTCATTCATTCATTCATTCATTCATTCATTCATTCAAAATCAACAAAATAATTGCTAAAAGCAATTGCTCCTAAATTAAAGTTAGGCGCTATTTATAAAAATGAATCTTCATGCTTGAACAGCCACCCTTAGAGGTGGATGATTTCCTTCAACATGAAAAGGGACCACTATGGAAGTACCCCCTTTCCAACAAAAAAAGAATCATGAAAATCGGTTCACAAATACCCGAGTTATCGCGTAACATACATACAAAAAAAAAGAAAAAAACTACATACAGTCGAATTGAGAACCTCCTCCTTTTTTGAAGTCGGTTAAAAAAAATAGGCAGTACTGCAATGACGTTACAATTTAAATTAAATGTTTTAGTTTTTTATATTACGTTACATGTCACTACCTACGTTTATATAGGTTAAGTTCGGACATGTTTTTCCTGGTTTTTGTATGAAACCCGATGTCCATTTGTTGGTAGGTCAATGCCCGGTTGTAAGACTTTTAGGCCAGTACAACCAATCAGGCGGCAGTATGGCGTTTGAGTAGCATCCTAGTTCTTTAATGAAATTTTTCAGCTTAGTGGCGAGTACCATAGACGACAGAATTTTGATTCAGAACTAAATATGGTTTATGAAATTATAATTGACAGATTAAAATATAGGAGAAAAAAAAACTTTTTCGCTCTTCTCGCATGGACATAATGCTTTTTCTGATCCGTCCAAACCGATTCCACATCGATAAGTATAGTGAGTGCCATTATAGTGAGGGATTCGATATAGCGAAGGCGCAGTCGGTGACAATGAAATATTCAGGCATTCGGATCGCGTAATTGCGTCAGGATCGATACGTGGACACATATCGTGTACACCGGCTTTTCTTGGCTTCATATTAATAATTGAGCTACGTGGACTGATTAAGGCGGCATAGGCCTTGCGTCAAGGCTAGATAGAATGAACCAGATGTATTAGTTTTGTTTTTAATGAGTTTTCTTATTAATGAAAAGTACACGCACGTGACGATGACGAATTGATGTCTATAATATTCATTCTCAAGTACCTAAAGACGCCTCTTAAACAAAATGCCTTGAAGATTTTTTTGCCTGCATCAGACTATCACAGCCAGTAGGCACAACAGGGCGTCATTTGCGCGAGAGCGACATAAAACGCGAGATACTGCGCATAGAGAATAGCAATATCTCGCGCTTTTATCTCGCCCCTGCGCAAATCGTGCACTGTCGTGACAACCCTGCAGATTGAAGTTTACGGCAGGATTTTCAGATAGTAAATTTTACAGTGATTTAGTCCTATTACGGATACATTAGTCACTATATCACCTGATGTTAAATCACGACGTAAAAAAATAATTTTTAGTCTAAACTTGAATAGCATCAGGAAACAATCCGTAGTATATTTTGTAAGCATTCAGAAGAATAAAACAAAACGCTTTGTCCAAATGAGTAGGTACCCCTCGTTCGGTATAAGACAAATTCTGGATTCTTCAGATTCGGCACATTCGCGACAGACTCGTGGATTGGGCAGATTCTAGGATTCGACAGGTTAAGCGGCAGAAAAACTACAGTTTCAAATAAAGGTCATTTGAAAAAACCATCCAGTAAGGACAATGAAGTACGTTACCTATGCGTGTTGCAGGGTTGGTACTTTTTGTCCACTCCACCTCCGCAGGATACTGAGCACGGGTCTCGCTGCATTGGCCATCTATAATGAAATGCCTCATAAATAGATAAATCTACAAACAAATTTACTATCACATACTTGGTATACGCTTAATAAAGAAGCATGACAAAATGTTACACAAAGATGAATGATCTGCTTCTGGAATATTCCATAAATCGTAAACCTGCATGTGTTGTTTTTTTTTAGAATACCAAGTGACGGGACGGACAAGTCGTGCGCCTGGTGGTAAGTGACATGCTTATCCATATTACGCATATACATCGCAAAGATGTTTTGGCACTGCCACTGCGTCCGTCACCCTGAGACACAAGTTGACATGTCCCATGTGCCTGTAATTTCACCAGCACCCTTACCCTTCTAAACCGGAACGCAGTAATGCTCACATTACTGCGGCATTACGGCGGCAGAAATAGGTAAGGTGGCAGTACTTCCCTGGACGAACTCTTTCACAAGGAGGTCTACTGCTACTAACTGGTATTTTTTGTAATATATGTATTACTTTAAACGATAGTGCACGTTCCTTACACAAATTATACACATGTAAAATTACGCAACATTTATAAAAAATGGTTGTTTTAGCTTCGCCTGCATTGACTTACAAATAAATGGACGACGGGTCTAATACACAAACCACGAAAAAAATGTCCCAAGTCAACCTATTTAAACGTAGTGACATGTAAAGGAATATGAAAAAGCTAAAACGTTGAATTTAAATTGTAATGTCATCGCAGTACTGTCTAATTTTGCTTGCTTCGCTGTCAGCCGAACAAACGAAGACTAAAGCGTCAATGACGCTCTGCATACGATTTTAACGCCCTATAAGTTCGGACACTTTTTAGCGCGGACCCGACGTCCATATAATTGTAAGTCAATGTTCACCTGTATAATTTAAAGAGTAACAAATTTCTACTTAATTATAATTAGAATTAATTGAATTAATGAATTTACACGCATGCATAATTTGGAATAATAAATAAGCTATATGAATATTATAGACATGACCTGGAATAATGTACTGTACATTTTTTTGACGACCTCGGTCGCAGAACGGTTTATACAGTGGACGCTGGATGAGGAAGTTCCGTGTTCAATTCCCGGTAGGACCAAATTGAGAAATTAACTTTTTTATATTGGTTATCGTCTGGGTGTTCTGGGAAATGCCTCAGAGTGAATTCCGTTGCTCTGGTACTCATAGTAAAGGGAATTGGCGTGATTGTTTGGCACATTAAAAAATGTATCTAGAAAGCTCTGAATTTAAATTTGTAAATATTTAAAATGTGCTACATGTACGCTCAACGTTCAATAATCTACCAAACACTTACGTGTACTTAGTTCATTGCATACTATTCGATAATAATTACTTTTCCCAGTTTCATAAGCAACTAGAGCATACAAATCTTTATATACGTTAAAGTGAACGCCCAGATTAATTACAAAAGTAGATGAAGCTCTTTACGGGGCGAACATGTTACATCAAAGTTGTTTGAAGTAATAATAGTGAGAAGGTAATATACAACCTTAAATAGATTTTGATTGGGGCTCCGACTTCCCAGGAATACTTCCCCAAGATTCCCGCAAGTTTTGGGTTATCGGGAAAAGGTTTTTGAAGTGCACACTTTTCTGTTTATTCATGGTCATTGCACTCTCCAAGACGAGTTTTTTGCTAGGGTTTTACGAATTTAGAACCAATATATTTTGTTCTACAACATTTGTGAGTTAGCACAAAAAAATTACACCTTACATCAATCCATTTATACGTCTCGTCTTAGGCCATAGTTCGCCACGTTGGAAACTTCACACGTTTTCCGAGGATTGTAAACCTTCTTCGACGTACAGGTTTCACCACAAGTTTTTCTTCACAGAAAAGGATTAAAATCTTTTCAAAAAAAACATCGTTTCGGGCTCTTTAGTGGTTCTATAGTCACGGTTGACTGAGAATCAAATCAGAAAATAAATTTCAAGTAGTAAACTTTTCTCTTAGTAATAGGAATGAAATTTGACTATCAATGGTTGAATAATAGACAATGCAATGGTTGAATAATAAAACCTTGAAGAAGAATTAACGTCGCTTCGAAAGCATGCAGTGATCCATATCAAACGACGACGGCGTAACTTTTGTTCTGGTTTCCTACAGGGGACACCGACTTCGTTGATATTATTCAGAGTTCTAACTATGATGTATAGTATTCATTGCGCAGTGCTTCAAAGTTCTACAATCGAACTGAGTTAAGAAGCGATCAATGGATTTGACATTTCACGTTTGTATTGTAAGTGAGGGGTAGTCAAATCAGGACGGAAATAAAATGTTGGACCAACTTCTGATATTGCAAACTGCAACGGGCATTTGTGAATCAATTTGAAAAGTTTGATCTTTTCTAAGGATCGTTATCGTGCGATAAGAAAAATTCACCGCCACTGCAGAAAGTCATTACAATACCAACCGGAGTTTCTACTATATCTTTGTCACATCTGTACTTTACATACTATATGTATGTATAGTCATTATTTAAACATCTTTAGATATATCTACGTCGTATACTACGTGTAGCAGTCCTAGACAGGCATTTTACATGTAAGAGCCGGTACACAGGGCGACTTTTGGCAGCGATACAAACGCGCGTTTGTGAATCGCGCAATTACATCGTCAAACATGCGATTTATAGGCGATTGCAACGATGCAGTCGCTTATGTTGAAGCATTAAAATGTCGCATCGCGATTGTTTCATTGCTTAGAGTCCTTGCTACCTCGGCTCGAATTAAAACTTTTCCCGTAATAATACGGTTCATTTAGCTTGAGTCGAGCGGCTCCGCTGGCTTTATTTCAGAATTTTTTTTTTTAGAAACGAAATGAAAGCCGTTTGAAGAATGTATATCGTATAGGTTACTATACGTGGTATATATTCAGTTGATATAAAAAAAATTAGTATATGTAAAGTACCTATTGAATGCAGCGGTTTTCTTGTAAAATTTCCAGATGAGTTTGTGTTTTTTTTTCTAGCATCAAAATTTTTAGGACTCGTATTTTTTTTGCCGTGTGTAACCGATCTAAGAACAGACGTGTTGTGAAACGATTCTTGTTCAAATTTCATAGCAGTCATTTGTCAGCAACATTTGGCCCGTGGTCGTGACACGTAAGTGTAAGGTTTCCCACTTTTCCATAATTTATAACATAAGTGGGGATATTATTTTGTGTCGACTAAGTACCATTACGAGTAACGTTCCATTAGTTCCGTACATTTCATTAAGTACTTAAAGAAATGGCTGGCGGCGTAGCAACAAAAGGTAGAACAATTAATAAGCTTTCTTCACTTTATGAAGTCCCTCGCGATAAGTACTTTTCAAGGGTAAATTGGGGACTTTAATACCTGTAGTCCATGGGTCGTGTGCGGGCCGCAGGCGTCCTGTAGTTCACGGACACTTTCACGTTGAACGACCCGTCCTTGAGTTTTGTATTTTGTGGCATCGCCTGCAGGTAAACAAAAGAGACTAAAGTCTATTTTCCATTACATTTTATCTTATTTCTACCGCAATATGAGTTATTGGAAGTTGCTGTTTCACTATTACCTACAAAGTAGGTCAGAATGCCATAGACAAATACATAAATACCCATATAAGTTACGGTTTTTCGTTGCTGGTCATGCTTTTTCATATATTGGACTTTTTGGTTTCTACAAAGTGAAGCTAGTTTAAAACTTATTTTATATATAATAACGCATAGAAACCTAGTTCGCACACGCTAAGTGAGGGTAAAATTAAAGCGCTCCCAAAGGGCCTACGCGAGCAGGCGGGCTGTCATTGCTCAAGGGCAACTTGCACCGCGAACAACTCAAGAATTTTAGCTAAAAATGACGAAATGTGCGGTAAATGAGTGTCAAAAATACGTCAGACAAGCATAAAATAGATACTAACATCACATTCCACAAGGAAGTAACGCCTTTCAACTTGTATTTTTATATAAATATTCACTAAAACCGAAAATTAACCTACTACTAAAACTAGCTTACATGAATTTGATTTTTGCCTCACTTGTGACAGTTCGTTTGATATGAAACTATCATTCTATGCGTTATTATTCTAAGTCTTAGGCTTAGAAAACGAAAACACCCATTGAGCGAGAGAAATGACTACAGCGCGTTGATGTATCTTTAAAATATCCATAACTGTGACTAATTAAAATAGATCTTAATATGAAATTCGAGTCGAGGTTCTAATAATATTTGGCTTTACGCGTTGTGATGAGTATTAAAAGCTGTTTACTGTAAAATCTCTACATCTAATTAAAATAAAATCTCGTAAATTACTCAAAAGATTGTTTGGCAAATTGTACAGCGCCCCTAGCGGTCACAAGAAGAAACAACATTTTATATACAAACATTTTACGCAGTCACTAGTGATAACTGTCCAGTAGTCTCATGATAGCAGCTCAGATCTGGTGAGTCCGCTTCGAACGCGCTGCACGCGTGCTGCATCCGTGCAGTTAAATACATGTAATACATAGGGCGCACTATAAGTTTCCGGAACTGGCCGCTTACAATATTTAAAAGTAATTGCAACATTTGAAAATGGATGTCTTTGGCTGTAGAATACAGTTTGTTTCATCTGACTGTCACTTGTTTTTACATTGTGGCGTCATTTTAGAAATTGGTTGTCTACATCACCATGGATTTAACTCGTGAAAATTTTCATAGTATGATTTTCTACGACTTTAAGTGTAATTTAACAGCTCAGCTGGCGAACCTTACGCAAACAGGCGCATTTGCCTAGCTTATGTAACCGCGAAATAACGGATAGTTTATAACCACACCTTTTGGATGTTAGCTAAAAACGATACATTCCTTTTCGTTGCCGGTTCTTTGTATTTTTTTATGATGCCAAGTGACAGGACGCACAAGTCGTGCGCCTGGTGGTAAGCGACACGCCTGTCAGCCAGCAGGCTAGCAATTGCAGTGCCACTCAAAGCTTTAAATCGCAAAGATCTGAGGTGGGACACTGCTACTGCTACAAGCCCCATGTGCCTGTAATTTTACCATCACCTTTACCCTTCAAAACCAAAATACAGTAATGTTTACATTACTACTTGCCGGCAGAAATAGGTAAGATGGCAGTAATTCTCTGGGCGAACACTTTCACAAGAAGCTCTACTGCTATTAAATCTTTTATAAGTTGGTAATAAAAATTATTAAAGTCACTCAATTTATAATTAAATGCAAGAATAAACACAAACTCGATGGGTGTTTGCAATTTTATTTATTTTTAGTAGCAGTGGATCTCCTTGTGAAAGAGTTCGTCCAGGGAAGTACTGCCACCTTACCTATTTCTGCCGCCGTAATGCCGCAGTAATGTGAGCATTACTGCGTTCCGGTTTAGAAGGGTAAGGGTGCTGGTGAAATTACAGGACATATCAACTTATGTCTCAGGGTGACGAGCGCAGTGGCAGTGCCCCTCTGATCTTTGCGATTTAAAGCTCTGAGTGGCACTGCAACTGTTATGGACTGGCGTGTAGCTTACCATTATAATAATAATAATAATAATAACGCACACACTCAACATAGCCCCGCACTAGGGAAACCCTGTGTCGAGGGTGCCATGGACACACACATAGACAACCACAAATTACACCCAAACTCACGAGAGAAATAAATGTAGGCCATACAAATATTTCTCCCGGCCCGGGAATCGAATCCGGGGACCTCTGCGTGGCCGTCCGGTATGGTAACCGTCCGGCCACGGAGGCAGTTTGCACTACTTGTTCGTCCCGTCACTTGATATTAAAAAAAAATCCTGTTGATAAGTTACATAACAACCACAACGCGTAGTGGTCAAATATCATGAACATTACGACGCGAATTTTGAATTGAAGTCTTTTTGACTTGGCCACAACACGTTCTGCTATTTTAATAATAATAATAATATATATAAATAAATGTCTGAACATGAATAACGTATTATGCGTATTTTAAAAAAACCACAACGCTTTGTGGATGTTTTTTTTACTCAGTAAGCGTTTTCGTTCTTTGGGCCTAATCTATAGGTTTTATACATGTAGAAGCAACGTTTTTCCCAAAAAAAGGATCTTTTATACTCCAGAACAAACATGTGGAGATTCGTAAATATTCTAGCCTATGTCTACATACAATTTGGTGTTTAAAAAACGCTACAAGGATCTTTTTGAATAAATTACGATAAAGGGAAATCAAATATAAAGTCCGCAGTTCCCAATTACTTAATTGGCTTTCAAATCACCGCTTGAAGTTTCAGGCGGGGAGTTGAAAGCCGGTGAATAATTAAAGGCTTCCCTCATCACCAAGTGTTCCCTACTCTTGCCAAAGTGCCCTTGGTCAGGTTGCGTTGATTGTTGTGCTGATGGATGTTTTGGGGATTAGTTTAAGAATAAATACGCAAAAAAGTACAACTCAAGCAGTGATAAGAGTTCAAACTATGGTGCTGCTGCTTCATTCTGATCGCGGTCGAAACGGTGACGGGGTCCTGGGGTTCGGAAGCACGGGACTTGTTTAACGAGTTGGGTCGCCAACTCAGAGACAAGGGTGTCGTGGTTGGTTGAGTAGGTTTCCATTGCCGTCCAGAGAGGCAATGCTGCCAGTATAGTGGGGACTTTTGAGCCGGACCCAATGCGGGGCGGGATTTTATTTTAGGTGAGGAATTGTTGAAAAAATCTCTTGCAAATCCCAGTTTTTTGTATTCTAGTGCATGTTGACGAAGCCCAGTACTGATTTTTAGGTTTATGTGACTATTCCACATGCAATTTGTTGACCCATGAAATGAATATGTGAATTTGATTGTAAAAAAACTACTTTAGTAGAAGTAGAGCTCCTTGTAAAATAAATCGTCCAAGTAAGTATTGTCAGTGGCAGTGCCCCTCAGATCTTTGCCGACTTAACCCGTTCACTTACAATTTAGAAAAAGAACTAAGTATAGACATCAACCAAAGAAGATTTTTGTCCTTTGAGATTATTTATTTATTTTTCCTTAAGAGTCTATACAACCTCAAATGGCTTTGGTTGATCCGCATAACAGTGAAATTGTTGAATCAATCACTTCGGAAAAATATATAGTAAAATTGAGGATACACACTGATTACTATACGGTGTGAAAACACAATTAATAAAAATTTTCTCGATAGAAAAAAAAACCACAAACCTCCTCGAATTTTTTTAAGAAATCCGCTATATTCTATAGGTTACTTTACTTACTTACTTTTTTTTATATCAACTAAACTAAATAGAACACGTATAGTATACGATATATATTTTTCAAATGGCTGTAATCTCGTTTGTGAAATAATAAATTCTTAAATAAAGCCTTGTCGCTCGACCCAAGCAAAATGAACCGTACGGGAAAAAGTTAAAATTCGAGCTGAGGTAGACCTTAAGACTCTCAGAAAAAGCTTTATGTCCATGTAATTAGCAAAAAAGACGTCTGTTTCTCGTCGGCGGCGATCCAACCGGAAGCAAAATGTGTAAAGAGGCTTTGAATTGAAAGGTATATTTTTTTTATTCTTGGCTTGTCATGGTAAGCATTTCTGCTATTTAGGTTCGACTTTCGCCTTTCCGAAATCCGTTATCACGTTCATATGAGGGACACTGCTATTGCACCTGTCACCCTGAGACATAAATTGACCAGTCTCATGTGCCTGCAATTTCAGCACCCTTACCCTTCAAAACAGGAACGCAGTAATGCTCACATTACTGCTTGGCGGCAGAATAAATAATGCACATACACATAACCCCGTACTAGCACATATAGTACACACCTAGACAACCACAAACTACACCTATACTCACGACAGAAATAAATGTAGGCCATACAAAGTTTTTTCTTTCATTTCAAGCGACGGGAGGAACAAGACATGTGCCTGATGGTAAGCGACACGCCTGTCCATAACAGTTGCAGTGCCATTCAGAGCTTTAGATCGCAAAGATATTATAGGCACTGCCACTGCGCCCGTCACACTGAGACATAACTTGACAAGTTCAATGTGCCTGTAATTTCACCAGAACCCTTACCCTTCAAAACCCGACCACAGTAATGCAGGTTAAGGTGGCAGTACTTCCCTGGACGAACTCTTTAACAAAAAGCTCTACTGCTACTAAAATTACTACTACTTCTCTCGGCCCGGAAATCGAACTCAGGACCTCTCCATGGCATAGTAAGCGTTCAGCCACAGAGCAAGTAAAGAAAAGGCAAGATTGGGCTCTATTGTTACTAAAAATGTTATTCTACAGGCATAGTAATAAATTAGTGAAGAGTGAAGAGTTTTTAAGAAACAAATGAAGTACTTACTTACCTTGATCATTAAATCCGTGTTCAGCTTCGATGCTGCAGTGATAATAATATCGGAATCAGTCTGTTTCCAGTGCAATAACGAACCAGCAATGACTGCCTCCCCTTCCCACCCAAAGTGTTCTCCTTCTCTAATATCTATCACATTACTATCCACTTCAATTATCCGTAGATTCTGAGGTACATTAGGATCGTATTTTAAGTACGTATGCTGTTCAATTTCAAAGCGCTTTGTGTGATGTTTGCTAAGTTCCAGAATGTCTGTTTTGCGTTCTCTAAAGGCGACACGGAGGGGAATAGGGGTGGCTATGTGGGCAGAAAATTGGTGTGCACTATAAGGAATTACTGCCACGATCGACCAACCTGAGAAAATATTTAAAAGTCAATTGTAAATCAAACTTTTTCTATTCGGATCTAAATAGCTTATATTTGATTATATTTTACAAACAAACCAACTCTTTAATGATCCCATGGTGACCGTGGAACGTGTGAAGGGCCCGAAACGTACCGTAACCATATGAAAAAAATTGGTTCATCTCCAATGTGCATCACGGTAACCGGAGACTCTATATTCCATATATATTGAACATATTATCGTATATAAAATTAATTGAAACTTTTTAAAAATCGAGATCGTAGGTTTCGCAATTGTTACACATAGGAAAATGAAACTGTTTATTCGGATCTAAGTCGCGTATATTTGTTTATTTCAAACAAGCCAACGTTTCGGACCCTTTACAGGTGACCATAGTCACGGCTGACGGAGATTGTAAAGTCATCAACCAGTTATATCTAATATCAATAACCACTTTATTTTTCACTATTGTTAGAAAAGTTATTAATTAAATATACCTATTTATAGGAAATGAAACTATTTTTCCGGATTTAAATCGCGTATATTTGTTTTTTCAAACAAAGGAACGTTAGTGAAAAAATAGGGAGGTTTGCATTAATATTAGACATAATTGGTTGATGATTGTACCACCTCAGTCAACACTGATCATGGGACCTGTAAAGGGCCCGAAACGTTAGTTTGTTTGAAAAAACAAGTATACGCGATTTAAATCCGGAAAAATAGCTTCATTTTCTATGTGTAACCATCGCGAAAACCTAAGAACTCGATATATACCTATATATTTTTAAAGTTTTAAAAAAATAATTGTACGTTCCAGTTGCTGCAATGCTACATACTTGTTTGACAATTTAAAAAAACATTTTATTTAAACAATATAAATTTCATTTTATTATTAATTAATAATTAGAATCAATTACAAACATTTGGTTTGTTTGAAAAAACAAATATACCGAAAAAGTAGTTTCATTTCCTTTTTAAAAAACTTTCATAGATTTCTCACAGATGGCGCCAAAAGAGCCGTTTAAATCAAAAACAAAGATCGGTAACAAACGTACAGAGAAATTCCTGAGGACTGCTGACTCGTTCCGTAGCAGTGCGAGAGCGGTTAACTCCGGTTTGGCAAACAGGTGCTCGATCGAATCCAACTCGATCGAAGGAGTTTTTCTTTGTGTTTGTTCAATCTTTGTGTCAATAATACCAACCACCACCAAGCTAGTGGAGTATTTTCACAAAATAATATGAATATCATGGTAATAAAAACATGATATTCGATGAAGGAAATAATAGGAATTTGTAGTTACGTTAAATCCGTTGTCTCCAACAAGCAGGTCCGAAGCTGGTTGGGTGTCCACAGTTTAACTCGACTCGTTTGGTTTTCATTTATCTTTTACTTAGGCTTAGCTTGTCTAGCTAGCTATTTGGACTTAAATGTTAATAATATAATATAGGCAAACCCTGTATCGCGGGTGCCATGGACACACACACAGACAACACAAATTACACCCAAACTCACAGGAGAAATATTTGTGAGAAATAAATGTAGGCCATACAAATATTTCTCCTGACCCGGGAATCAAACCCGGGAATCAAACACGCAGAGGGCGTGGCAGTTCAGCATGGTAACCGTTCGAACACGGAGACAGTTAGTGTTCCACCATATGGACGAGGTAGTTATTCAATACCATGCTCGCATTTATATCTGTACAGTTATTACTGTATAATAAGAAAAATATGGTAACTCAATACAAACGTAGCAGCGCGGTTTGTACGTGCGCGCGCCCACTTCGTGGCTTGTACGAATGCACACATTTGCATAATTTCGCCATGCACTCGCGTTGCATAGCGCTGGTCATCCCTTGCGCCTTTCATTATTATGCGTTAGTGTGCGTCCGTGCACCGCGCGCGGTACACATATAAATCGCATTGCTACGTATGGATGGAGTTTCCATATTTGCCTTATTATATTATGTGTTGTTATGCTTGATTAGGTGTTAAAAGATACCTTTGTTAATTAGCTTGGTTCTGACTTCAGTGTTGTTGCTGCAGTTGCCGTCCGGACACCAGTTGCACACTGTATCGGAGACGTTGCACTGACCTTTCACACAAGCGCCCTGGAAAAAATTTTTCGGATTGATTTATTTGGCGTTTATTATATAATGTCCTCTGAAATAAGTTGCTTATCAGCAGTCAACAGCACATCAATGCATTTTTTTGTTTGAATATTGCCTCCAGAGCAACAGAACAAGATCCGTCAATATATAACTTGACTTGTTGCCGTCCGTACCTGGCCCTGTACTCTCGATCTCCGTCCGACATCCGCCCGAAACAATTACTGGGAAATAAGTAATACTCGACCAAGTCGAATCGAGTATTACTTATTTGACAGTAATTGTTTCGACCAAGTCGAGTCGAGTATTACTTATTTGACAGTAATTGTTTCGACCAAGTCGAGTCGAGTATTACTTATTTGACAGTAATTGTTTCGGAAGGATGTCAGAGAGTACAGGGGGAATCTATTCTCGTTATTGGTATACTATTCTATAGTAATTCTACAGCTAGTATATTATTCTACAGTAATTGTTTCGGACAGATGTAGGACGGAGAACGAGAGTACAGGAGGAATCTACTCTCGTTATTGGTATACTATTCTACAGTAATTCTACAGCTAGTATATTATTCTACAGTAATTGTTTCGGACGGATGTCGGACGGAGAACAAGAGCAGACTCCCCAAGTAATTTATAACATGGCGTCTCATAATATAGCAGGAAAAATCTTTTGCTATTCCATAATAGACATATTAATTAAATAGGCATGAGAAGGCTGTTTGCTATGAGTTAATTAGGAGATTTTTATTATTAGTTTTTGTTTTTGTTACTAATTTATGTCTTTGTAATTTATAAGCGAGTCACATTACAAAATAAGCTAAGTGTTTGTGATGGGTACGCTGTAAACCCCGAGTTTTTGGCTAATGTGAATGTGAAATTTCTCATGTAAGTGAATTTTGTAATAATTCTTATGAGAAATAAAATATTTCTTAAATCGATAAAATTATCTCTTAAATAGTCTTTTAATAAAGACCACATTTACGTGCGACATTGTTTGTAGCCTTTTCCGCGTCATATTCCCAGTACTTGAATTACTTATAATTGTTATATGTATTCCAAATATTAATATGTAGTTTGTTTGTATTTCAATTAACTGCGTAAAAATGTATTTTGTAATTGATATTCCAGCTGCTCCCATGGTGTCCTATAAGTGATAATAATTGTATTTTAAATGCCGTACCTATTTTGTATTTTCAATTACCTCATAGTTAAAAGTATTTTGTATTTCTTATTTTAAATACAAAATACTTTTATCTACAACACGTATTTTGCCAAACCCTTCTGTTTGTTAGTACTTTGTATTTTTGCATAATCACATTTTGCCACGAAAAAGTACAAAAGCTAAATAAGATAATATAGAGGGACGAGCCCGAGTTATAACAAAAGGACGTAAAAAAATGGACAAATGTTTTATTTGGTTCAAATAAAGTTACATTATCTAAACGAGAAATAGCTGGTCCTTGTTCACGCTCCAGGTCGTTAACATTCTTCTTTATACAAATTGGTTTCAAACAAATAAAATGGCATTCAAAACTAGTCAAGTCAGGATGGTGAATAAGAGTCTCACTCAGTCTACTTGGTTTACCCAAACTTTCCCATAAGAAGAGGAGACTAGTTAGCGCACATTCAAGGTGCGCCAAATCATCTTCATACCCCGGACACTCCATACAACGGTAGAAATTTATTTACTTATCACTACTACGTACAGCAAGGCGCTGTCTGCACTGTCAAGTGGTAAAGTTATTCTCCACTTCCTTGAACTATTTTGTTTCCTGGTTTAACGTGCTCAGTGGCTTTGCAAATGAATGTATTGCATATGATCAAAAATAGCAAGCAACAAATGTATTGAATATATAATGATTTATAGTTCTACGATGTGTTTCCAATTATCAACCAAGTATTCTGAATGACCTCTATTACTTCTTTCTCGAATATATCACAGCTCATTCTGTACTGAAACGTGTATTGAAAGCTTCGTTTCGCTTCAAAGCCAATGCCAACCGCGTAAGGTTAAATAAAGCATCGCTAACAATTCCTTTGAAATTTTAGAACAATGTAGATAAATATCGTAGTACAATGTTACATAGGTCGAGACCTACATTGATTTGAATCTGTATTGTTCTGTGTTTGACTTACCTGAAAACAGACGTCGAAAGGTCTATCGTAGCTACAGGGTGCTCCGTCAGGCAACGCGCCGAACGACTTAGCCTTCCCTCCTTTATAGTGTACGCATGAAATTTTGCACTGTTTGGATTCTGGAGAACAAATCATGCTGTTTAAACATTTGTTATGTGTTAAATGTATTGTGAACAATAAGTGGAATCAAAGTCGATTCCTTACTACGCTGTTGTGTATGTTCTGGAACAATTTTGACATAAAAGGGACGCGTTTTGCACTAATAAAATGTTGATGGAAAAGAGTTGTAGAAAAGAATTGTTTGTAGTATTTATCCGGATTTAAATCGCGTATATTCGTTTTTTTGAAACAAACTAACGTTTCGGGCCCTTTACAGGTCCCAAGGTTACCAAAGTCATGGTTGACTGAGGTGGTACAGTCATCAACCAGTTATGTCTAATATTAATTTTTAATACTAAAATACTTAATAATTTACACTTTCATATATTATGATAAAAATACTTTTGACGAATGTTTGTCATGTGGCTTTGTGCGAATATTTTCTATTTTTAGCTGACTTCAAAAAAAGGAGGAGTGCGTACGTTACGCGTTAGGTTTGTGAACCGATTTTGATGATTCTTTTTTTTTGGAAAGAGGGACCTCAGAAGTGGTCTCATTTAAGTTTGATGAAAATATTCCACCTCAAAGGGTGGCACGGTTTCACGCACTTTCCGGTAACCAATTGTTAAGTTTTAGTTTCAGAGTGTATATATATATTTCCTTTATTTTTATTATTATATTTTTATTTTATTTTATATTTTTATTTATAGTTCCTTTTTATTAAAAAAAATTATGTTTATACATGCTTATGATGTCGCTTATCAGGTTCCACTTTAACAAGTTTCTTTGGAGGTCATTTTTGACTTGAAAAGAAAACCAGTGGCGTTGTGAATGGATGTTGGTTGATACAACAGTATGTTAGCGAAAATTAACGAAATAACAACTAATAATCAGAAAAAACTAAGGACTATAAGTATTTGTGCAGGGTATTTCATAACTTCAGTGTTTTTATTAAAACATTTTTAAAATTTTGCTACTTATACATTTCATGCAGGCGATTTTACGTAATCGTCGATACGGGATTTATGTCGCGTAATTGTAAAATACGTAACAGTGGGAATTAATTAATAATTAATGGGTGCACGATAGAAGCCGCCCTGCATGACGCACCATTTCCTTCCTGTACGTCCGACGTACCCTGGGCAACTATCGGTTAGTACCTTCCGCCGATTGGCAAACCCTTTCACACACGTTTTGGATGGCAAGCATTACGAAGTATGTCATCAAGTGGAAATTAACTTGATAATTGAAATTTTGTAATAAGTGTGCAATCTTATGAAGCATTGTTTTAAAAGCAATAGTAAAGATACCTTCATGAAAAACACGGGGCACGAGTTCCTTACTGTGACGTGCGCACGCGTCTGCACGCACGTCGCGTGTCGTAGCGCATATGCCCGCCCAGCACGTCACCATTTCCGTCGCCGCACCTTCGCACGCTGTCTCCGATATTATCCTTTATATATACATTTTATAATATTAAAACAAGGAACAAAAAAGTTGGCTGTTTTTGACATAGGTAGATAGACAACCTTCGAGGTAGAGGAAAGTCAATCGGAGCGGGAGAAGTAGTTGCCAATTATATAAATAAAAATAAAAATGAATTGTATGAACAAAAAACTAAACAAATGGAAAATAAATAAAATAAAATAAAAAAAAACAGAATTTATCAAATAGTTAATAAATAACGGATATATTCTATCTACATAAATATATGTATATATAAATATACCTAAATAGACTTATAACTACTAATACTTATAACTACTAATAAATATACACACGTTGCAGACTAAAGGTCGTATTCCAGAACTCTACTCAATACTCAAGTCAGGACTTGAGTATTGCAGTGAGCACTGAAAATCATGCTCAAGTCCTTGCCATTAGGGTCGTATTTTCAGTGCTTGAAATCATGCTCAAATCTTGACTTGAGCATTGAGTAGAGTTCTGGAATACGACCGTTAGAAGACATTTACGCAATCCGGTTTTGAAAGTAGGAAGCGACTTCGAATGTCGGATTTCATATGGGAGATCGTTCTACAATTGTGCAGCCTTAATCGTAAATGAATCTTTGTAATACTCAGAGCGAGTGATAGTCACAAATTCATTTTAGGGGCAATGTGCGCATTTTTACAATTAACACGTTCGCAGTGGCGTAGACGTAGCGTGGGGGCTGCAGAGGGGGCCAAGGCCCCGGGCGGCAAAGCAACGGGGGCGGCGCGAGAAACGCGGCCGAGCCCTAATTAGTCAAAAATATTTTTTTTTACTTAAAACAAGAAATACTATTACTGAATAAATTCCACTATTTAAGAAAACGATATCCTGAACAACACAAAACATATTTAAAAAAAATTTTTTTTAGAGGTTTCAAATCACTTAGTTTATATTTGGAAAATGTGGATGAGACGACAGGATACAATTTAGCATCAAAATCTAATCTAAATGTTCGAGTTTTTTTGGGTTAACAACACGTTATTGCGTAAAAAAGTTAACGACTCATTTCGTTTGTAGAAACTTTAAACCTTCCTTCTGAAAAGTTATCCTTTTTGCAGATGTAGCCTTATTATCCCAAGTGTGAATGAAGGTATGTAAATTTACAGAAACTAACCCTTAAAGGTTATAGATTTCTTTTAAGGGAAAGAATCTGCCTTACGAATGAATAGTGTTTAATAAAGACTATTTCAGGTTGTCCATCGAGTTTTCTCTAGAAAGAGAATTATACCCGATTTGGCTCCGAGGTAATTATAACTTTTTTTTACAAAAAAAAAACCAACTTCAAAAGATTGTGAAATTAAATCTATTTGCCAAATTTTATTGAAATTATTTAACGGAAAGTGAGTGAAATGCAATAAACCGGATTTATCCCCTAATTTGCCACCTTTAGAGGTGGAATATTTTCTTCGAATTTGAACAGGATTACTACTGAGGTACCGCCTTTCCAACAAAAAAAGAAAAATCGAAATCGGTTTACGAATATTGGAGTAATCGTGTGACATAATTACGAAGTAGCAGTAGAGCTTTTTTTTAAAAAGTTCGTCCAGGAAAGTACAGCCACCTTACCTACATATTTCTGCCGCCAAGCAGTGATGGCACGTGGGACTTGTCAACTTATGTCTCAGGGTGACGGGTGCAGTGGCAGTGCCCCAGATCTTTGCAATTTAAGGCTCTGAGTAGCGCTGCAACTGTTATGAATAGGCATGTCGTTTACCACCAGGCGCACGATATGTTCCTTTTTTTTAAATAATAACGCACACACTCAACAACCATGGGACCTCTGCGTGGCAGTCCGGCATGGTAATCGTTCGGCCACGGAGGCAGTGTTCATTCCGTCACTTGGTATTATATAAAAAAAATACAATTGAGAACTTGGTCCGTTTTTGAAGTCCGTTACATATAACTCCATTTCCAATGTAAATTGTTTACGTATGAGATTAATATTATTATAATTTATTAGGGTACATTTATACGATGTTTATTTTATTGAATATTACAATGTTTTTACTTCCATAATAGTTATATATTGTTTTGTCAATATACTTCACTAGCTTGTGATTATTATTGAAATAAAAATCGTACAAACACAAAGAGAAATTCCTTCGAACTGACAGAATTTGAACCAGTGTCGGTTTGCCAAACTGGGGCTATGTGGGTACCATAACATTTATATGTCATATTTTTTGTAAATAAAGGTGTTCCGATCAAAATCCCAGCATGTTAACTGACATAATCAAATCTCAGGGGGCAATGTTCGTGTATCATGTAGGTATACAGCTTATAAGTAGGTGAATCATTAATATGTCTGCATCATCGCCAGCCTACAATGTAAGTAGGCTAATGACGAATTTATTAAACAAGATAATAATGTTGCTAACTAAACCTTTCAAGTTTTTTCTTTTAACCAATTTTAAAAAAGGAGGAGCTTCTCAATTCGATTGTATATTTTTGTATGTATAGAATCGATTTTTATAATTCATATTCCACCTCGAAAGGTGGAAAACCAGGGGGCGAATCAATTTCCGGTAACCGATTCCAATAAAACTTGGCAAATAGATGTAATTCCATGCATTTTTGAGGTCGGTTCTTTGTACTGAGATTATTTGTAAATAAAAACAATTAAATAGTATTAATACTTAATAACTATTAACTTAACTTAATAACTATATTAAAACTAAACTATTGTTCTGCCCTCCTTGTCATAACTAACGCATTGCATTTCGGAAACTTTCGAGATAATTGCACCCATCGACACCGGTTATTGTCTCAATAGAACTCAAAGGCTTTTTTCTTTTTTTTTCTTCTTTCAACTTTTCAACCGTGACATTGGCAAAATCATCATTTCATATAATGACGGAGCCATAAAAAAAGAAGTGAGATTTTGGCACTTAAAGTTTTTAAAAATTGTCAGTCACGTTGATTTTGCTTAGCAATAAAACTGAAACTAGATATAAAAAAAGCCGATCAGAGGGGGTTGCAGATCTGGTTTGCCTGATTCCAGATAAGTAATAACTTAATTTTGCTAAAAATGTCGATTACGTTAGTTATTACAAGGAGGGCAGTATTTACTTTATTTCTTTATAGAGCTAACGTTTGCCGAAGGTCGTGAACCTTCTTCGGCGTGCAGGTTTGATCACGATTATTACCTTCACCGAAAAGCTTGTGAAAACATGACCTCTGAAACTTCAAACTGGAATATCTTTAATTCCAAAGTGGTTTAGGAATGTAAATTCCATACTTTCACATATTTTCATAAATAGACGCACACAAATTATGTCAACAATTTATATGGGAGTTCGCCATTGTTCTTTTGTATATAAATTCCGAGAAATTAAGGTGCGAGCTCGGATTCGAATCTACGGCTTCTGCTTGATAGGCTGCAGGTTAAACCATGAGGCTACCGCTGTTTTTTAATAAATTAATAATCTGTAGAGAAATAATAATGAAAACCGAAATACTATCAAACGTATTACAGTAACTTAGGACATCACAAAGGCATTAACCGCAACGTCCGAACCTTGAACTGCCCTGAGGGAGCAAAGTACTGTTGACCCTGACTCTGTGTGTCAAGAGCTAAATGACAATGTTTTAATATAAATTTAGTAACATCTAAAATCTGTAAAGTACGAAGTGGTCCTTAATGGAAATGTGATGGTCTTTAAAGATTTCATTTTCATTAAAAAGTTGAAGCAAAGAAATTATTTATAAATTATGAAAAATCGCCGCCAGAGTACTAACTTAACAAACGTATAATTTTTTTATTTAATTTTAACAAATTTAAAATGATAAGAACCATGTCTAAAACACATGACAGTCTCTGAAATTCAAATAGACGGAAAAGTTGAAATTTTCTCGGCTAAAAATGCGACCGACATTATGTATCTTGGACATATTATAATTTTGATACAAAGATCGAACACGTGCCTATAACGCTATACTGAAGGTGCTGGTTCGAAGCCAGCTGGATCGAAGGATTTTGTCTTGTGTTCAATCTTTGTATTAATAACTATAAGAAACAAATGGAGTGGAAAATTAATTTCACAAAAAAATAATTGTATATCAGGGTAGTAAAACGTAATACACTTTGCTTTCAACACATCTTTCTTGTTTAATTTCTCATACAAATAATACTTACCCTTTAAATAGGCATTGTCGTCGTCTGGACCGCACTCCATATCCACAAGTGGCGGTACATTCACTCCACGGGCTCCATTCTTTCCACTCTGGTACCTCAACACCGGTTTCTTCATTTACGGTCACTGTGTTATCCCGTCCGTGCCCGGGCATTGGTTGACATTCTTGGTCAATGCACCACTGTTACGAAAGAACGTTTTTGTGATTATTTGAGAGAATACTCGGGTAGAAAACTCGTATTCGATGACAGTTGTAAACCGCTGTTCAAAAGGCTAAACACAATACCTTTGCCATGCATGTACAATAAGGGATATCTGCGTATTTGTCAACTCTCATCCTCAATATTTTAAAACACGCGGTGAAGTCATTCAAAGGCAAACTAGAGCAAAAATCCCATTAATATTTGCACATCTGCTTGTAGGTTTAATACAATGTACCTAATTTTACTATGTACTTACTGTATTCTAGCAAACAAACGTATTTTACTCTATTCTATATTATTTTATCTAGCAAATAGACCAATTCCTAAGGTCTGCTGACACATTCTGTAGCTCAGTTTGGAGAGCGATAGCCCGCGTTAGACGAGAATTGTCGCTGGTTCAATTTGAATTAATAAGTTGATCAAGTACTCTACGGGTCGTATTCCAGAGCTCTACTCAATGCTTAAGTCAGGATTTGAGTATGGCTTAAAGCACTCGAAATCATACTCAAGTCCCTGCCATTAGGGTCGTATTTCCAGTGCTTGTGTTTCAATTGCAATCCTGACTTGAGCATTGAGTAGAGTTCTAGAATACGACCCTTAGTGTTCAATATAACAATGGATTTAGGATGTTGTTGGGACTGCCATGCTTTTTCAACGCTTCAGGCCAGTAGCGTAGCGTTGATATCTGCCGCCCTGAGCGAACCTTAAATTTGTTGCCCTCTCTGTTTTCACGATCACAAAAGTAGTAGGTAGGCTGTAGCGGGTTGGCTGGGCTCGATTGTGTTTTGTGCCTGTCGTCGCCACCTTTGTGTTGTTAAGGACATCGTTTTCTCAAACAGTGGAATATTTTTTAATTCTATGTAGAAAACATAGTATTTGTTATGCAAGGCTGCAAAGTTGTTTGGCGTGAGTGCTTGTATTGAAACCTGAACAAGCGAAGGATAATAAGATTGAACCACGGGCGAAACGAGTGGTTCAAAAATAGAATCATGAGCGTAGCGAGGGTTTCAAGGCACGAGATACAAAACAACTTTGCTGTCAAGTGAAATATATAACTTTTTACCTCATTATAGCGAAAGGAAAATGGTAGATAAAAGAAAAACAGTTGAACTACAACAAATCAGTTTTATTCATTCATACATCAAAAACAATTTAATAAACAAAATTAGTTATCGTTGTCAATTTAATGTCAACAATAATAAGAATAAAATGTATCAAAGGATTTAGGTTGCCTGAAAATGTATACTTTGATTTAAACTTTAACGATTTTCATACATTTATTTGATTTTATTAGGGACTTAATCACGTATAAACATTGACTTACAAATAAATGGACGACGGGTGTAATACAAAAACCACGAAAAAAATGTCCCAAGTCAACCTATTTAAACGTAGTGACATGTCAAGGGATATGAAAAAGCTAAAACGTTGAATTTATATTTTAATGTCATCGCAGTACTGTCTAATTTTGCTTGCTTCGCTGTCAGTCGAACAAACGAAGACTAGAGCGTGAATGACGCTCTGTATACGTTTTTAACGCCCTATAAGTTCGAACACTTTTTAGCGCGGACCCGACGTCCATATAATTGTAAATCAATGCGTATAAAACATATTTTAATTACCTCGACGTTTGGGACGTATTGCAATGTCCATGGTCTCGAAGGCACTGAAGAGGCGGGTGCCAGAATCTTCTAGCCGTGCGAGTTTTTCTAACTACCTGCGCTAGATCTTCATTATTTATTTGTGCGCCAGGATTGTCACTAGACCGACATACAAAACTCACGACAACTGGCGACTTGTCGGGCAATAGTTGATGTCGTTTACATTTGCTGATAACTGGATTCCATGACGATGAAAGCTTAAAACCGTTTTCTCGGAATCGTAACACCGTAATGTTTTTTAATTTCAATAGCTTCACGTACGATTCTACTACAGTGATGACGTTCTGTAGAAAGGTTCTTGGGATTATGAAGCTCAATCCAGTGGTTTGGTCCTTATTCCGGCAAATGCTTATACGTTTATACATGGTTATGTTCCATGACAAATGGCGTAGTTGAACTTGTAGTTGTTGTACGTAATTGGTCCATTAGCCAAAAAATTACGTAAAAATCAATAATAATTTGTTTTTATTTCAGACTTTCTAGATTTTGAGAGCTCTTTACAAAAAAAACCACTATTAGCCTGGTTAAATTTTCCATTTATTTTAGTACCACTAAAGGAACAACTCCTTTACCATGTGCTTTTCGGCGAAGTCCAATATTGTGATGAAACTTGCACGTCGAAGAAGGTTCACTTCACTTCACTTTTTATTTTTATGGCTCCATCAATATGAGAACTGATGATTTTGCCAATGTCACAGTTGAAAGAAAAAAAACGAAACAAAAAAAAATTTTCGCTAAGCTCTAATAGGACATTAACCGGTGTTGGTAAGTTGGACTACGGGAGTACTCAGTTGAGAATGTAAAACAAAACAGCAAAACAATATTTATAAATATATGTTATTTAAGTGGATAAATTTACATAGAGTAACAATATGGGGGGAGAACACTAAAGTTAAGAGGTTGTTTATGTTAATGGGGCGGGGGAATTTTGGAGAAAGTAAGTTATAAAGTGGAACAGCAATATTAGGACAATTGAAAAAAATGTGTTCCAAGGTACCGTCTTCTAGGCCGCACTCGCACAGAGAGTGGTCTCGAACTCTGATTTTACGCAAAAATACAGGTGTGCAAACATGGCCTAAGCGCAAACGAATAATAGTGGAAGTGATGTTTTTAGGCAAATCGCGACGTTTAACAACACTCGGAAATCGTGTCAAGTTCCCAACCCGCAACTCTCGCCTGAGAGAAAACCGGTGCTCAGCGGTGGGACGAAGAAATGGGTTGATGATGATGATTTATAAAAACAAGGTTCAATATATTTTGTCTTTTTGTAACTCACTTTAATAAAGAGTTCAACTGAAAGCACTTTGTTACAACAATTACCTTAATTTATTTTTCTAAGAGACAAAAACTTTTGTATTTTTTTTCTCCTCATTTTTCAAAAGCCTCCTGAAAAGTGTTTCAATTTAAAAGAAGATTAGAAAGTCTGTGAAGGACCGTTGTGATATAATTTTTCTTATTTCGCGTTTAAAAAATTACTAACTTGTAAGTCGAGGGTTTTCTTTGTGCGTAATTTAAATAATGCCGTCATCATTCAGTTTTTGGAAAAAGCGGCCGTATTGAGTATTCCTTAATTCTAAAGCCTTTAAAACAACGGTATGGCTGAGGTATGTTATAGTTACTTTACAGAGTGCAGCGCCTTCCTAACAACTTCCTAACACCAGAAAACTCCTTTTAATACACCTAATAATAGTTTCATTAGTTGCTTGTATAGAGCTAAAAAGATCCTGGTAGGCTAATGATTTGACCTATTGTTTCTCAAGCAGAGCCCGTGAGTTCAAATCGCGGCTCGCTCCTCTGAGTTTCGCGGAATTATGAGCGAATTCACCATGAGCTTATCGGTAAAACATTGTGCTAAAACCTACAGTTCGAAATAGGTTTATAGTCCTCAGAAAACGTGTCAAGTCCCCAACTCAGGTCAGCCTCGTGGACTATGGTCGAAACCTTCGCCTGAGAGAGACCCGTGCCCAACTGTAGAACGTATAAAAGGGTGGATGATGAGAATTTTAGTAAGGAAATTAGAGCTTTAGGAAATATGATGAGGTGGTTCAGACATGTGGAGAGGATGAATGAGGAAAATAGACAAAAAAGATTTATAAATTATATGGCTTATGACCCTTAACCAATGAACGTGTAAGAAAACATTTAGGCTAGTTGATAAGATGAAAAATGTTAGGATCATATTTGTCTTGTTCGTCTCGTGACTTGGTAGTATAAAAAAAAGTAAAATTCTGTGGTCGTTCTCTTCGCTGACAGGGCTAATATTTTTTCATCATCATTATTCAGCCATACGACGCCCACTGCTGGGCATAGGCCTCCCCCAACGATCTCCACGACGATCGGTCCTGCGCTGCCCGCATCCATCGGTTTCCCGCGACCTTTACCAGATCGTCGGTCCACCTGGTGGCGGGTCTACCCACTGAATGTCGTCCGGTGCGCGGTCGTCATTGAAGAACCTTTCCGCCCCAACGGCCATCGGTTCTCCCAGCTATGTGCCCTGCCCATTGCCACTTCAGCCGAGCAATTCTTCGAGCTATGTCGGTTACCTTAGGTCTCCTACGAATTTCCTCATTTCTGATTCTATCGCGTAGGTAAATGCCGAGCATCGCTCTCTCCATTGCCCGCTGAGTGACCTTGAGCCTTCTTATGAGGCCCATAGTGAGGGATCACGTTTCTGATCCATATGTGATCACTGGCAACACACACTGGTCAGACTTTCGTCTTGAGACACTGAGGTAATTTGGACGCAAAAATTTTTTGTAGTTTCCCGAACGCTGCCCATCCGAGCTGGATTCGACGTGAGATCTCTTTTCAAAGTTAGACTTACCTAACTGGACTGTCTACCCCAAGGTATACGTAATGGTCAACAACTTCGAGTATAATGCTCCCAATTTTAACTGGAGCGGGTACAACATAGACAGTGGACATAATCTTCGTCTTGTCCTAATATTCTTAATTATATTACCTTGTAATATTTTTTTCATTTTCTATTATTAGTTTATGTATATCGTCTATCCGTGTGGTATATTCAATATGATAAATTTAATTACCTCGTTTGAATACGAGAGCTATCATAATTCTCTACACGCGAGCATTCATTTCGACTTGATACTTATAGCTTAGTTATGCATTGGTTTGTACCCGCATTTATCTGTCGGGGCCAGAATTTGCATATCTCAAAAATATATTCCGTCAAGTGTTTCTTAATCTTGGAAGAATTTTTCAGCTTGACATTCATTTGCCTTGGCAGTCATTGCCCAACGTTTCAGTCTAGCAAAAGAGAATAGTTCATATGTGCCGGAAAATGATGCCATCTATAA